GAGTAAATCAATTCACTGATCCTAACCCCGTCTACAAGTCTCTAATAAACGTGACAATACTGTACTGCAGTTCTGTATAGTATTACAGTACAGTATAACGTAACGGTAGGCCGCTCCATAGCTGAAGCGGTTAGTCGCTGGCTTCCCACCGCGGCGGCCCGGGTTCGATCCCGGGTCTGGTCAAGTGGGATTTGTGGTGGACAAAGTGGCGCTGGGGCAGGTTTTCTCCGAGTACTTCGGTTTCCACTGCTAATCGTCATTCCACCAGTTGCTCCACAATCACCCTCACCTATCATCTGGGGCTGGTACAATAGGCCAGAAGTGGCTGCAGTACAAGGGACTTAGTCCTACCCCACTAACAATAAAAAAATAATGTAACGGTGAGGGCTGTACGTCCAAAAGTTTATTATTTTAAAAACGAAACTGGATCTTGTGATAATATTGTGATTCCTGAAGGCCGGAACAGTCCATTGCTAGACAACGGCTCGCTAGGCACATATCCGCAGCAACGGAAAAGGTTTTAAAAATAGACCGTTGCTATGAAATTAACACATGCTTCCGCAGCAACGAATAAACCCAGAAGTATAGAAGAACTGTTAGAAGTAGTGACATATTCAGCTTGCCCCGAAGTTATAAAAGGGGGACACGTGATTGAATCGTCGGTCGGTCGCTAGAGAATTCAGGAATCTGTTCAGTAGATCAGTAGATCATTGTTCAGCTGTGTAGGGTTAACCAGCTGACAGCGGAAGCTGTAATGAAGTGACCGATTCTTAATGCATTACCAAATCACTCACAGTGGAAGAGAGGACACTCGTAGCTCAATAAGAAATGCAGCTAGTCTTAAGACAGACGTTGTTTGTGAGCTGTTATAATTCATTGTTATTAAGAGTGATTGTAATAGAAGGCGTCAATAAATCCAATTATCAAATTCAGACCCCGTTATTATTAGTCACGGAACCCCCGACATGTGACTTTAAAACAATTTTTAATGATGTAAATAGTGTGCTATTGTTCTGGCGCTTCTCTTGCATGTGTCCTGTATTTTGCAGTGAAGTCGTTGGGGGGAGCCAGCGTGTGTGTGGACATGTTATGCTTGTGGTTGCTGTTCTGTCAGCTACACTGATGAGAGCTGTGACATACTGTTAGTAAATAACTGACATGCTCACACGTGATTCCTGACTAATTTTTATCTCCCATTGTTTCCTATATCCATTAATGATCCTGACGAAATGTACAACGCCTTCAGTCAACACCTGTCACATCTAAAAATAACAAATACACACAGTAAGCCTGTATCGAGCTAAATGCACCTTTGCGATAGCGACCCGTGTCGGCCTGTGCCCCTTTAATTCCCACATACATATATACAGTTTATATTTCCTGTGGTGCAGTACGTTTAGTCCCTTCCCTCGCGCTCACAGACCTGACGCGTGTATATACGGGAGAGTTTAGGAACAGGATTCGTATACACGAACTGTATCACGTGATCACAACACAGGCCTGCGGTATTTAGGGGCCTCTGTAAGTGATCAGTGGAAAAATACATCCAGCCATTCATTCGTTTCCAAATATTTCGTACACGTGGAGCTGTGAGCTCCAATTGTCTGGAGGGTTGTAGAAAGCTTTAACTGGAGTTCATGGTGCCGATTATATATAGAAACTGTGTATAGTTACTGAGCTAGTGAAGAGATTTCTTACCTTGTATGGGACCCAGATGTCCATTACCATGTTCATAAAGTTCCCCCGTTGATCCCTTTCCTGGGAAGGTTTTCAAACCAGTCCAGAGGTTCACTCCGTATTTATCTTAGCCTCAGTTCACTGCTGTTTCCCATCGTCTCATGTGGCCTCATCCATTGAAGTGTTTGAGACACATTTTCTGCCCGTGTAGGGGGGATGTGTTTGTTTCTTTATGTGTGTTAACATATCCCAGGCATCCCGTCTTGATTTAATTACCCGAACGCTGGAAGTCGAATAGTATAGAGATAGTGTGGAGATTCTAAATTGTGTATTCTTCTCCAGTCGTGCCTCCTGTCTGTCCTAGGGACGGACAGTGTTCTCCTCAGCACTGTTCTAAAACAACTTCAGTCTGTTCTGTCCATGGAATAAGAGTTTGACACCGATGCAAACGAAAATACTTATTCAAATTTGTTTCACGGTAATTAGTGACCATAACAGTAGTCGAGTTAAATGGCAGTTCAGTTTGCTCTCATGCAACGTCAGTTAAATTTTGCCCCATCAAGCAGCAGAAACACCTTTATATTGTCAGGAGTCTTTGTATAATAGCGCTCCGTGAATCAAAGCTAAACTTTTGTTTTGGACAGTTTCTTCCAAATAAAGAAAGGCTGGCAGTTTTTTTTTTTAGTTTCATAGGTGGGGTGAGACTGTGTCTACTTGGTACGTCGGCCACTGACTGGCCTGTTTAACCAGCCCCGGTGCCACTTCGTCCACCAAAATCCCGTATGACCTTACCTGGTCTCGAACCCTGGCCGCCAAGGTGGGAAGCAGTTTTAAAGAATATGAAAAGATATGGTAATGTGCAGTGCAGAGTTTTTGTTGGCGGTGGTCTGCTTCTGCGTGATCATATAATATTATTCTACGCTTTCGGAGTTTTATGCTCTCACTATATTAATCCATCAGACAAAAGAATTTGCGAGTCCCAGGAACAAAGAACAAGCATGTCATATTCGGGCCTTATGATTTCATTTATACCTATATAATGTGTTTGTTTTTATTCCTTTTATTACGGAAGTCTTCTTGTAAATGTTCGTATTATAGGCTGAAGGACTACGAGGAATGTCGTCGGGTTGTTGATGCATGTCATATGGAGCAGTGCTTGCTTTATGGTCGTGTAATATTGTCGAATTCATTGTCCCATGAAAGAGGTGCTGAAGTTTTTGTATGTATCTCATGAGGTTCACTCCTGTAGAGAAAACACGAAGAATGCGGTCTTCTTCCATTTTTCGTACCTCGCTCGCGTTGCTGCCCGTCAGTAGTGTTCTTGCAAAACCAGTCGAACAACACTGACTGCACAATTTTCTCGTTTGCACAGTTAAGTATTCGTCATATATACACTTTGAGATGTAAATTATGTATCATAGTTTTGTCACACACAGTGACGATTCTTACTATTGGAAATTTTAAAATTTTCTTTGACCTCCTTGTTGAGTAGGGTTCATTGGTCCAAAAAGAATTATTTGCACACTTTTTTTAAAGATTCTCTTTGCGGCATTTATAGCTTAGGAGTACGAGTAGCGCTCAGTAGTAACTTTGATCGTGGGTGCTATCTCAGCATTTTCTTAAAGGCAGAAACTGCTGGCCCCAAGGTACGAAGTTTATTCGATTTCTCTTGAGTAGAAGTACACTGTTTGGTTTCATGTCTTGGAGACAAGTGGAAGAGCAGAGAGTTTAGTAGTTTTTAGGAGCTGTTCTGACGACAAGTTTTTTGGGCTCAGTTTTCTGTAATATTTCCACATTCTTTGTGACGTGTATCGCTACCTGTTGCACGCTGCTGTGTGGCGGACGGACCGACCAGTTAGTGGCCCGTGCCCTGGTACAACTGTTACGTTGTAAATAAGCGTCCTGAGCGAACGGGTGCGTGTGTTTGCTGAGTATTTTTTTTTTTGTGTACATGTTTATCCTTATTTTCTCCTCGACTCAGCGTAGGCGCCTTGAGTGACTCGAGAGAGCAATTTTGTCCAGTTTGTGGCACGGGGCATTCTACTCGCAATAGTAAGAGATCTGCCAGCAAGGATTCGATTCAGTGATCTATGACAGAAATGGAAGTTGTTATTCTAGGAGGATTTAATTCTACCGCGGTCCTCCCTGTTAGATGGAGATACGTGTAGATCCTCCATATGCAGTTAGGGTGCAAGATGTGGACGTCGTTTTGATCGTTTTTGAGGTTAATTTAACAATTCTGTCAACAACTCCTGCTGTTTGGCATCGACTCAATGATAGTGAATAATGAACTGCAAAGGACGTAGCGTAATGTAACTTACTTTTCTATCATTGTCGTTTACATGTCCTCGCATGTACTAGTTTTACATGAAACATTTATTTTGTTATCTTAAATACATACATGGCGTCAAATTTGAGGTTATGTCTGACAAGTTTAAGGTGGTCCGCATATATACAAATGGCAGTTTTGCTCATAGATAGATTACTTCTTCGCCGCCTTTCAGGGAGTTACATAACATCCATTTCTCGAACGGTATCTGAACACTAGAATCCAGTATTGAGGCTGTTTAGTGTCCTATACTCTTTCGAGGACACGTCGCCATAATCTCCAGAAATATGTTACTAAAGGACAGTCACTAAGATAGAATGTTTCCTGGCCATTCTGTATATAGTAGTAGGAACACTCGTTGAATTCTTTCTGAGAACTTCCTTTTTCGTCCTTAAACCCCTTTTATGTCCTTCCATACTACGTATTATCTCATTTCCTCCGTTCTCCTTTAGAATAGTGAATTAAATTATATCTTTGTCCTTAATATAGCTCAGTTTCAAACGTACAACTGCCTCGTGCGTGCATGAATGAGAACTTTTATGGCGCATAACATACACACATGATCGAATAACATGCTTATGTGGTAATAAACAGCGCAAGAGTTCGCACGTTATTGTGTATATATGTATACAGATACGCATATGCTGCGGACTGCGACTGTGTATAGACTGATATGATTGTAATTTCCAGTATCGAAACAATACAAAATACAGGTCTAAGAATCTCATGTAAATAATCGCCTCCCCAACGAAGGGATTGACTGTTGTTGGCAGTTCATCTCTCGGCGCTGGCGGGCCCATGCATCAGCATCTCTGTCGGCGCACTGTTAGCGTAATCTCACGCACCATCATTTCGATTTTGTTACGTACAAATATACATGTAGCTTCCTAAGGAAAATGGTCCTCATAAGCGTATCCCAGATCTTCAGAATCGTAGTATCTCTGTAATGACTGCACCGACAGTTTTGAATAATCTCTTCTGGTGCTTGTTGCAGGTGAAGTTGGACAAGAATCAAAACGGAAAACCATCTAAGGTGATCCACATTCGCAACATCCCTAATGAGGTGACAGAGGCAGAGATCATCCATTTGGGCATCCCCTTCGGACGTGTAACCAATGTCCTGGTACTTAAAGGAAAGAATCAGGTATGTTTTCCTCCTGTCCATATTACAGCACGTCATCTTTATATCGTTACTTTTTTAATGAAGTGTTTAAGATGTGTGTATATATCTTAAATCGATACCAATGAATCGCTATGACCCCCCCCCTCCCCAAGCTTCAGATGGCATTGGAGAAAAAAGGATTTAAGGATGTGTTGAACCGAATCTTTAATCCAGGCTGTAGGCTGTGGCATTATCTTCTGAGGATTTGCGGCTCTTGAATAAAATCGCGAAAGGTTGAAGGGTACTTACGTATCGCATCTTGTAGGTTCGGAGGTATCCTCGTTTTCTGAGCCATGGCACGAAGTATAGGCTAGTGGCCAGCGTCGGCCCGTGGTCACTCTACCCCCGTGGAATTGACGCGTAGTCATTGGTTGAATTCGCTAATGTGAAATTCTTTATATGCTAGTTCTCATTTGGTCTGTTACCCTTGTGAATTTGGAGACACCCGCTTCTAATAACGGCTGTATCATCGAGCTGGATTGCACCACCGTAAGCGTCTTGACTCATGCATAATTGGTAGGTACCCGATTCGAATCCCAGCTGGATATAGGTATTCTGTGCTGCTGGAAATCACATATGTAAATTTATTTGACTCCATCAAGATGAACCAGTTCCAGGCCGTACCAGGCCCATGGATTTCCGGCCGAGGTTTCCTTCAGTCCATCTTGGGTAAATTCCGGCGTGATACAATGGGCCACGACCCCCTTTTTTCCTGCAACCTTCTATCGCGTAACTTGTATTCGATGTTACGTAATCGTGGAGTTCTTACTCGTAGTTCGTCGTTCAGTAAACCAAGAACCAGTCCCAAATTTTACATCCATAAAGTAAACTCTCGTACTCCCGAAAAGTCGAAGCTTCAAGACCATCGTAATAAATGCGTACTTCTTTCAGTTCTCTTCCACTGGTTTCGTTGGCCTGTTCTGATCCAAATATATGCCAAGTCTGAAACTTCGATTCCCTCAGGCATATGACGCAACTTCTTGAATTTGATGTCGGCCTATATGAAAGCCCCCACAGGACAGTAGGATATAGGAAATCGTGGACATACCTGCGTGCCCCAAGTGATATTTTAACCCATGATCCCTGCCTATCGGTCCAAGGCAGTAAGTTCTTATAGCCCGTCCAGGAAAAGCAATAATGTAAGGGAACAGAAAGGAAGTCGTTTGTGTGTGCAGTGCATGATAATGGCATATCAGCATAATTTTATTGCGCCACTGAGTCACAGACAGGTAGGCAGTGCCAAGGTCTCCTGTGTTACTCGTGCTTCAGAAGCGGGAGCGTCTGAGGCGTTCAGTATTTCGAATCTCGGAGCATGCATGTTCTCTCTAGACATCGGGCGCCTGGAATGGACCTATCTTACCGTATCTTCGCATACGCTGTTAAAACTGTAATAATATCTGGAGCTTGACTCGCAATTTCTTATCCAACAGATGGCAGAATAGTTCATTACGTGTTGGCGTTTATTAACAGCTGAAGAATTACGCATTTTTTTTACGACAGCTGTTTCGGATTTTGATCTTCCGGAATATGACACCGTCTGGTCGTGTAGGATAAGGATACCGGAGTTTTATTTCGTACTCCGACCTCCCTTTGCCTATGACCCTGAAAGGGATCTTTTCTTAGCACGTCTCAGTATTTGATTTTAGCTTCCAGCGGCGAAAGATTCAGGGCCGTCGTTTCGTACAATTCCGGCTTCCTCTAGTAACGAAGAAGGACATGGGCTGTTCTGGCTCCGTTTCCTCACCTCCTGTCATGTGTCACCTGTTTCGCACCCCACACCCTTGAATCTCTAGGTGGGGGCAGGAGGTTCCTTCGAAATGTCGACATCTGCATAAAAGACACCACGTCGCCAGTCAGAAGTCCATGTATCGTTTGCTAAACAAGAACAGTGTAATGGAACGCCAGCTGAAATTGCTGTAACCTCGGTAACACGCATTTCGAACACCCCAGAAAAGTTTTGAAGAAGTACCTGGTTCTAATTGCCTTCGGGCTGTCGGTTATATTGGTTACGATCTATTTCCAGTCGAGTTCCGAGATAAGACGAGTAATTAACGCGCGCCACTTCGGTTTTGTAACGAACGTTCACCATTCGTCTGTATACACGTCTGACATTTGCTGCTGAAATTCTGGAAATTTCTCTGAAACGTCTTTTCAGCACACAGTTGGGAATCAAAATCTCGGATATCTCGTCGAACACAGGTGACCTTGCCTTCCTGAGGTTACCTGCTTAAGGTTTTAGACAGACAGTAGTTAAAACCCGAATTCGAGACGGCGACGTTTCGCACCATGAGGGCGTGAAAGCAATTCACCGCGCAGTCACTGGCCAGCTTGACGTTTCAGCCACTTTATCTGCAGCCGAGACAAGACTAATGATGTGTCTGTGAAGAATGTTGGGCGAACCCAAATCGGCTTTATACGCTAGGAAGAGCACCTTCGCGTAATCGTCCCGGCGCGCACGAGTATACATCTCATAATGTAGTAAAAAATAAAGGTAAAGTTGTCCCTGTGCTTAACTAAATAAGTACTACGCCATGAAGGCGTATGGGAAGCGGATGTATATAGGTCCATATTTTCTTGACCTCGTCACTTGTTGGAGGTGAGTGGTCAGCTTCACGCCTCAGCCGCTTGACCCCCTCGTTTGGGGGGAAAGAGCCCCAGTTACCTATTGGATAGGAGCCTGGGTGGGTTCCAGAACCGGTCTGAACGACGTATAGAAAATTGTTGACCGTATCGGAACTCGAACTCCAACCCCCTCGGCCGCCCAGCCCGTAGCCAGTCGCTGTACAGACTACGCTATCCTGGCTTCTCCCGTAATATAGTCCATTTCATAATTACGGCTGTGAACACCTCAAATCCAACGTCCGCCTCGGGAGTCAGACCTTGTTTTGACTGTTCGTACTCATAGCCCGTTTATTCATTGAGTGAGTGCCGTATCCAGGCCCTTGTTGAGTCATACATCCTGTATGGAAATGAGATGTGTGCTTTTGTGGGGTTTGAGGGGGCGGGAGAAGACGTAGACACTGGATCGGTACTTCTTTCTTTAAATGCTGTAGCATAGTAGTTGGTGCCGTATCTGCGTAAAAGGTACCCAAGCTTGAGAGACGTGAGTTATATGAGCCTAATCTTATATTCTCTTTACTTCGAAACGTTACTCGCGAATTCAACAAACTTTAACCCTTTTTTCAGGATATTGGAGACACGGGAAAGCATCTTAAAGTGTCAGGTTAGAAAGTATTGGAAAGATTAGGTTGATTTTTCAGTTTAGAGAGCGGGACGTAACATAAACCAGACCGCAGTCTATTCTGGTACGGGTTAAAGATGTTCTACATTACGGTAGTAGTGGTGTAAAGGCCCTGAGATTCCCGGAATGTGTTCATTGGGACAGTGTGACTACCTAAGGGGTTATTTTAAGTGATTCATAGATTATTTAGCGACTGTGTATGAACTTCAGTTGCGTCCTGCATTTTACATTTTGAGAAACGGTCAGTATTTCTGAAGTTCCAGTCTTATGGGCATACGATCATTTTGCGCCATCCCAGTGCTCATAATGGAATAATTCTGTCTCTCTCTCTCTCTCTCTCTCTCTCTCACACACACACACACATGCGCGCGTGTGCACAGGCAGAGTAACAAAATCTCTGTTCCTCTGTCCTTGTGACTGTCCACCCCTCACTTTGTTTCTCCTAAATGGCACGTCCTAGAAACAAATGGTAATCACCAAGAATAAGGTAAGCCGCACACCGGCATTCGTCAAGACATTCAACAGTCAGGACACGACGTCTGCGACATGACGCAAACAAAGGAGTACAGTTTAAACGAATACGATTATGAAAACCGCCGCACCCCGGTCTGAGTCATGATGCTGACGAATCACGAATGAAGCAAGCCTGCGTCTTTGTCTCATGTCTTGATGCTTGTCTTGACGCAGTTGGTGTGCGGCCGCACTTATGATATTACACGCATTGATTCGTGACAAAGTCAATTTCTTACTTCATTCCTGCTCTATAAGAAAAGCGTGGGGGCATTAACGACATTGCGTTTATTTTAAAATTCCGTAGTAACGACATGTGTTCTGAAGGTCAAAAAGCGACATGTGATTCTAAGAAAGGAGAGACGTTGAACATAAATACCCATCAGGAACAGGAAGAAGAGTGTGTAAGGACACACTACATTTGACAGGCGCGTTCGGAAGAAGTGAAATAATTAACACCGCGGTGTAATTTTCCCTTATGTAAAGAAGCAAATTGACGCCAAGTATTCGCTGCTAGGCGATGATTCTGAAATTGGCTGTAAATGGAAACTCTGTAGGCGTAGAAAATTAATAAATAATTAGTATTAGATCAGAATAAAGTGATTCTGTTCATACACGCAGTGTATAATAAGCAGGAGTTTTATTTTTTCCTTACCTCTAATGCTTCCTGGAGGCCATGGTTGTTTCCTAATTATGAAAATTCGGGAATGTAACATCCCTTCTGTTTAATTATTTACGTAACTGCGTGACTTAACGGGGAACTTGTGGTGGGCTGTAATGTTTAATTTTCTCTCAACTGCGTCCGTCTTTGTCTCTGACAAATTTTGGCGAGATAGACGCCCAGACGCTTAAGATAGCTGTACAATTTTCAGTACGGTTTTCCAGTGTTACATTTTACGAAAATCCGTCCAGCAGTTCCCAAGTTGTTGGATCCGTACTTACGGCGAACTTAAAAAGCACTCTGTAAGGTTGCGAATGCACCTATATGTTATTCAAAGTGCAGATTTTTCTGCACCGGCAGGCAAGCATCGGCATATCCCATCCTGGGTCTCCAAAACCGCACGTTGAACAGGAAACTCCCCTCTTGGAACTACACCGTTGGAAAATCGTTTTTAGCGTACTCTCCTTATTTTGAAAAAAATAAAAGGGAGACTTGTGAGATCACCTGATCTGATTTTCGCATGGCCATGGTTATGAAAAAAATAAAAGATAACCTTGTACAAACATGTTC